GTGCTCCCCCGACCCCACCCCCATCTCCTTTTGTCCCCAGGGAATCTGCTGTGGAGGGAATCTCCCTCCCTCCCTGGCCTCCCCGGCCTCCCCACTCTGCCGACTTCCCTGATCCTCCCACCAAGTCTCCGCCTTTCATTCAGCCTCCCCAAAACCCCTACTCACCAAGCACTCGGAGCCAGATATCCACGCTCCTTTTGCCCTGCGGGAAGATGAAGAACACGCAGGTGTAGCTGCCTTCATCCTCGACGCGCAACCCGAACATCCTCAGCGAGGCATCCCGCAGCTCTGTGCCCAGTCTGGTGGCCACGAATTCCAGCCGTTTGGGCTCCGAATAGCTGGGGCCCTGCGTTGGGTGGAAGATGGCCATGCTGCCGGATTCACCATGCCGCGACCAAGTCAGCTGTGACACGTGAGTCTCCTCCATGCCGGGCACCTGTAGGTAGCAGGGCAGCGTCACGGAGTCACCCAAGAAGCCGGGCACCTGGGTGGGCGCCTGCACGACGACGTCCCCTGCGGAGAACCGAAGAGGTGTCAGACCCGGGGCGTTCCTGGGCTAGATAGTGAGGGGCTCCGGGAGCCCGGGCACCTGGGCGTGCAATTGCACGCTGGGGCCCTGGAGCCCTGGTGGACGGTGGGGTGTGGGGGAAGGGGGGACTGGGGCACTAGTTGGGGTCATGGCAGGCGAGGAGGGTAAGGGCATCTGGGATGGTCTGCAACTTGGCCTTGCTCCTTCACTTTGGCTATTTATTACCATATTTCTTCTGTTATTACCGTATTTCCCTCAATCTCAACATCATTGATTTTAAAAATTATGGTAAATATGTGGTTAAAAACTAAATTTACCATTTAAGCCATTTAAAGCATACAGTTCAGTGGCACTACGCACATTTCACAATGTTGTGCAACTGTCACCACTATATAGCTCCAGACTTTTTCTTTTCTTTTTTTTGAGACGGAGTCTCGCTCTGTCACCCAGGTGGAGTGCAGTGGCACGATCTCTGCTCATTGCAAGCTCTGCCTCCGGAGTTCAAGCAGTTCTCCTGCCTCAGCTTTCCGTGTAGCTGGGATGACAGGCTCCCACCACCACACCCGGCTAATTTTTTATATATTTTTAGCAGAGATGAGGTTTCACCACGTTGGCCAGGCTGGTCTTGAACTCCTGACCTCAAGTGTTCCTCCTGCCTCGGCCTCCCAAAGTGCTGGGATTACAGGTGTGAGCCACCGCACCTGGCCCAGAACTTTTTCATCACACTGGTGTCGTAGCTTTCACATACCATGACTGTCGTTATTTACAGCACAATTGCCATTAGGGGTTAGAATATCCCCAATGTAGAAAATGGGGAGAAATCCTAGATCTTCAAATCCATGAAAAGCTATATTATTACTCTGGGTAGGTCTTGGCTGGAAGAATGTGGGGGATCGTGGTACAAGAGGAAGGCAATTATAGTGAGGCTTCAGGCCGGTTACTTAACCTGTCTGATTCTTTTTCCTAGTTTGTAAAATGAGACTTAGAACACGTGAGGGCAGGACACAATCACAACACAAAGATAGCCGCTCATTTCATAAAGCATTTGGTACACAAAAACTAAAATATATAAGAAAAAAAATTCACACGCGCTCACACAGATCAGGCGGGGCTATTCTGGTGCTCTTCAACCAATATATCCTTGGCATTTAATCGCTCCAAATAGCCCCGAGGCCAGCCACAACTGGTTACAAAATACATCCATTTTACAGACCCAGGAAAACTCGACACGAGTATAGCGTCCTCAAGTTCATACAGAGGTTAAGTGGCAGAGGGTGGGATTTCTGGAACTTGGGTGGTCCAGAGACTGCACCCGTCTAACCCCCCCCAGGGTCCTATATAAAAAATCTTTCTGCCTAAGGGCCCCTAAGCCACAATAGTAGGTCCTCAACATTGTGGTCCGCCGCTTATTGGAATAGTAAATAAACATAGTCCTAATGTACTTCTTTTCTATTTTTAAATTTTTATTTAGGTAATATTTTTTTATACGAGATGGGGTCTTGTCCATGGTTTGCCAGCGGCCTGGTTTTAATTCCTAAGGCTCAAGTGATCCCTACCCACCTCAGCCTCCCCACAAGCGTTGGGAATTAACAGGCATGAGCCACTGGTGCTTGGCTGCAATCAGCCTGGCCAGCATAGGCGAAACCCTATCTTCTACCCAAAATACAAAAACATTAAGCCAGCGGTTGGTGGTTGGTGAGCCCTATAATGCCCCAGCTAGCTCCCAGAAAGCCACAGTGAAGAGGATCACTTGAGCCATGGGGAAAGTTCCCGGTTGCAAGTGAGCCCTGATTGTGCCACTGCACCTCCAAGCCTTGGGCAACCAGAGCCAGACCCTTGTCTCCTCTCCTCTCATTACACACACATACACACCACAACAACTATATAGTATAACGTATATATACACAACAATATACCAATACCACACAAAATATTATAAATAATAAAATATTTATTTCCTCATTAAATGTATAACAAAATAATATACTTTTATTATATAAATGTATAATATTATTTAATATATATTAAGAAGATAATTGTAATATATTAATATAATATATTAAATTGTTATATAATAATAATATATCAATAAATATTTATTATACATATATAACAATAATATATAATATATATATTCATCAGGAGTTTGAGACCAGCCTGGCCAACATGGTGAAATCCTGTCTGCTAAAAATACAAAAATATTAGCCAGGCATGGTGGCACATGTCTGTAATCCGAGCTACTCGGGAGACTGAAGCAGGAGAATCGCTTGAACCCGGGAGGAGGAGGCTGCAGTGAGCCAAGATCAGGACACTGCACTCCAGCCTGGATGATGGAGTGAGACTGTCTCAAAAAAAAGAATGAAAGAATGAATGAATGGCCAGTCCCCTGGAGTCAGACATTGGGGGTCAGATGGGTAATGGTGTCAAGTGTCACCCACTGTCCGCCTCCCCAACTTCAACCATCCTCTCCGTCCAGACCCAGCCCGCCAGCAGGCTGCTGGGTTATGGCCTGGGTGTGCTGAGCAGGAACCTGGGTAAGGTAATCCCGCATGAGTCACCATCTGCTGATTCTCTGAGATTCTCTTGCCTTTTTGGGAAATGTCCGCACTCAACTCCATCCCCTTTCCGAGGGGCCCAGAGGAGGGTCTTGTGCCTACCCCGTGTTACTGCCAATTTCGAGGAAGTTCTAAACCCAACTCCGACCGCTCTCCGGATGGCTACGAGGAGGGTCCTGCCCTCGCCTGGTGTTCCTTCCAACCCTGGGGCAGAGATGGGGGGTGGGTGGCGCCGGGCGGCGCTGTCATCTTCGGGGACCCAGGGGGCCGAGTACCCGGCCTGGATGCGGAGCTGGGAGCAAGAGAGGGGCCGCCGGACTGCGCGGGGGTCACTCACCGGTTCCTGGGGGTGGCCAGGACAGCGCCAGTAGCGCCAGCAGCAGCGGCGGCCATGCGGCGGCCATATGAGTTGCCCCGGGCAGCTGGGCCTCCGGCGGGCGTCTCCTTCTCGCTTCCCGGCGGCCGCTGCAAGTCCAGCTCCCGGAGCTCAGGTCCTGGAATCCCCGGGGGGCCGCTCAGTCAGTGCCTGGGGTGGGAAGAAGAATACCCACTTCTTCAAGTTCCAGACAAGTGACGGGAGGGGAGGGGAGTTGACGGCGAGTCCCCTCAGGCGCGGGGGCGTCACCCAGGCTGCGCCCTCACCACGCCCCGGCGCGCCTGCGCCTGCGCAGGTCTCTCCAGGCGCTCAGTCCCGCTACAGACGCGCGCTCGCTCCCTCAGTGCGCACTAGAAGAGGCGGCTTCCGACGCCTACATCCCAGGTGAGGAAACGGAGGCACGCGGAGAGATTCAGCAGCTTACTAACGACTCGCGGTTGCCGAGTGGCAGAGCTGAGGTTTCAACTCGTGATGGGACAGATCCTGAGCCCGCCAGGCTGTTCTTCCACCCAGCCTAAACCCATGGGCTTTGGGGTCAGACAAGACCTGGGCTCATGTTGAGCAAGTGGTTTCTCCTCAAGGGCCCTCAGATTCTTTATCTGAAAAATGGGCATAGTAGGGCGCGGTGGCTCAGGCCTGAAATTCCAGCACTTTGGGAGGTTGAGGCGGAAGGACTGTGTGAGCCCAGGAGTTAGAGGCTGCGGTGAGCCACCCTCGCGCCACCGCACTACAACTTGGGTGACAGAGCCAGACCTGTCTCAAAAACAAATAAACAAAACAAAACAAAACAAAAAGGTTGGGGGCTGGGGCGCAGGCACAGTGGCTGACCCCTGTAATCCCAGCACTTTGGGAGGCCAAGGCAGGAGGATCAGCTGAGGTCAGGAGTTCAAGGCCAGCCTGGCCAACATGACACAAACCCATCTTTACTAAAAATACAAAAATTAGCTGGCATGGTGGCACATGCCTATAATCCCAGCTACTAGGGAGTCTGAGACAGGAAAATCACTTGAACCTGGGAGGTGGAGGTTGCAGTGAGCCAAGATCAGGCCTCTGCACTCCAGCCTGGGTGACAGAGCGAGACTCTGTCAAAAAAAAAAAAGAAAAAGAAAAAAGGGCATACAGCATGGTCTGTAAAGCTTAAACAAGGAACTGGTTAGCTCAATTTCGGGGATATAGTGTGTAATAAATAAAAAGCAGATATACCAATAATAGCAGCAGTGGCAGTGACAATTATTGTTATTGTTGCTTTACAGTTGCCATCAAATAATAATGTTCATGAGAATGGTAATTCATTCATTCTTCACTCAACGTATATTTATTGAGTCAGTCAGTATCCCAGGCGCTGGGGATACAGCAGAAAATAAGACACAAAAATCTCTGCCTTTAATGAAGACCGTGTTCTAGTGGAGGGAAACAGACCATAAACAGATTAATACCAGAACTCCAGCAGGTCTGGGGGAGATAAGGGTTATAGACCAACCTGCAGTAGGGAGAGGAGAGGAGGGAGGGAAGGAGAGGGAGAGAGAGGGAGGAAGGGAAGGAGGGAGAGAGAGAGAGGGAGGGAGGGAGGGAAAGAGGGAGAGAGAGGGAGGGAGGAAGAAGGGAGAGAGCGAGAGGGAGGGAGAAAGAGAGAAACAGAGAGACACACTCAGAGATAAGGGCTGGGAGACAGAAAGATTGAAAGAGATAGAGACACAACATAGACAGAGCGAGATGAGAGAGAAATGAGAGGTGAGAGATTCAGAGAGCGAAATCCTAAGAGATAGAACCTGAGAGACTTCCTGGTCCCCAGAGGTGTCTGTCCTGGCCAGGGTCTCCGTGAGGCCGACTAACAGCTCTGGTCCCTGTTCTCTGACATCCTTATATCCTTTTTATTTTTATTTTTTTTTAGACAGGGTCTCACTATTTCACTGAGGCTGGAGTGCAGTGGCGCCATCATTGCTCATTGCGGCCTCCACCTCCTGGGCTCAACTCCACCTCAGCCTCCTGGGTAGTTGGGACCATGGGCATATGCGATCACGCCCAGCTAGTTTTTAAATTTATTGTAAAGACAGGGTCTCGCTATGTTACTCAGGCTGGTCTTGAATTCCTAGCTTAGAGCAATCCTCCCACCTTAGCCTCACAAAGTGCTGGGGTTGCAGGCATGAGCCACTGTGCCCAGCCCCACATTATTATATCTTTCTGTAAAATCCCTCTTATGGCTTTTGGCTGGCTTGAAGCTTGCTGTCTCCGGGTGCCCTCTCTAACTTAGATCTGATGCTTGTGTATGACACATCTGATGCTTGGGGTCTCTCACCCTGGATGTATGTAGGTGAATTTCTATGGAAACATGGAGGCTGGTCTCTTGGAAATCTCTGAATTTTCTGTCACTCTTGTTCTGCTGAGTTATTTCCAAATTGGGAATCTGTGGCCATTGTTATGTTCCTTCTCTGGACGATGCCATCACCATCTGGGTTTCCCTCACCTCTCTGGACTCCCCAGCTCCTGTCTCCAGGGCCTCCTCTCAGGGACCTGGAGGGTCAGAGGCTGTTCTGAAGAAGCAGGCTTTGAAGAAAAAGCAAGTTTGGTTCAGGGCATATCTGCTTGCTTCTGTGTGTTTCTCTGTCAAGAGTCTAAATTCCTTGAGTGTTTGGACCAGACATTTTCTTCACTCAAGTGCTGAAATATCATCTGAAAAAATAGTGAATGGAGATCTCCAATGGGCATCCTATTTTTGTGTGTGTTTGTTAGTTTGTTTGTTTTGAGACAGAGTCTCGCTCTGTCTCCCAGGCTGGAGTGCAATGCCATGATCTCGGTTCACAGCAGCCTCCGCCTCCCAGGCTCAAGTGATTCTTGCGCCTCAGCCTCCCAAGTAGCTGGGATTACAGTCCTGCACCACCATACCCAGCTAATTTTTTTGTGTTTTTAGTAGAGATGGGGTTTCACCATGTTGGCCAGACTGAGCTTAGGTGATCCACTTCCTCAGCCTCCCAAAGTGCTGGGATTATAGGTGTGAGCCACCATGCCCAATGGACATCCTCTTGATGCTGTGGTTTTCAAACTTCTGGATCCAAAAGGATCATCAAGAAGCTTGTATAATTAAACAAATATGAATCCATTTCCTTATTCTTCCCTCTCCCATTAAAAAATAAAATGGTAGCATTGTTCTGTCTCTGTTTTTCACTTAGCAACATATCTTGGTGATTTTCCCAAAGGCAGATATATTGAGCTACCTCATTCATTCATTCGTTCATTCATTCATTCACAAATGTGTAGTATTCCATTACATGAATGCACCATCATTTTTGAAACTGTCTTCCAGGGATGGCCTCTTTTGGGTATTTCTGCCCTTTTGTACTTGCAAACTGTGCTTCCCTGGGTCATCATGTCCATGGCATTTCCCATATATGTGACAGTGTCTGTCATATTTATTCCCAGAAGCTGATTTCCTGGGCCAAAGGGCATGCACATTTGTGATCTAGAGGATATTGCCAAATTGCTGTCCCGCAACCATGCCAGCAAAATAAGGGCGTGGAGTGGCTTCTACCCAGGAATGCTCACGGCAGTCAGGGAAAGTTTAAAAATTTCAGATATGCCCCCACCCCCCGCATCTCTACAAAAATTAAAAGAAAATTAGCCAGGCGTGGTGGCACATACCTGTAGTCCCAGCTACTTGGGAGGCTGAGGCTGGAGGATCGCTCAAGCCCCGGAGTTTGAAGCTGCAGTGAGCCATGATTGCGCCACTGTACTCCAGCCTGGGTGACAGAGTGAGACTGTCCACCCCAAGAAAGAAAATGTCAGATGTGAAGCTTTGTCCAGAAGGGTGTGATGTAGGAGGCCTGGGAGCAGGGGGAGAAAGAGAGAAAGACATGGAGAGCAAGAAGAGGAGATGGGGAACGAGGGCTCCAGAGACTCCCTTGGTTCAAATTCTGCTTCCACCAATTGGTAGCTGGGAATCCTAAGCAACCGGTATCGCTTCTCTTGCCTCTTTTTTCTCATCCACAAAATACGGGCTCGTGAAAACATGTGGTGTTAGTTAAATAAGTTATTTAGAAACAAGTTATATGTGGCTGGGCATGGTGGCTCATGCCTGTAATCCCAGCACTTTGGGAGGCTGAGGTGGGTGGATCATTTTGAAGGGGGCCTGCCCCTCCACCCCTGTGGGTATTTCTCCCTAGGTGGAGATAAGAGACTGAGAAAAGAAATAAGGCACAGAGACAAAGTATAGAGGAAGAAAAGTGGGCCCAGGGGACCGGCGCTCAGCAAGTGAGGACCTGCACCGGCACTGGTCTCTGAGTTCCCTCAGTATTTATTGATCACTTTCCCTACTATCTTGGCGAGGGGCATGTGGCAGGACTATAGGGTAATGGTGGGGAGGGAGTCAGCAGGAAAGCATGTGAGAAAGGACTCTGTGTCATAAATAAGTTTAAGAAAAGGTGCTGTGCCTAGATGTGCACGTAGGCCAGATTTACGTGTGACTTTACACAATCATCTCAGTGCAGTAAAGAGCACTATTGCTGCCAGCATGTCTCACCTCCAGTCGTAAGATGGTTTTCTCCTATCTCAGTAAACAGAATGTGTGATCAGGTTTTATACCAAGATCTTCCATTCCCAGGGATGAGCAGGAGACAGATGCCTTCCTCTTATCTCAACTGAAAAGAGGCCTTCCTCTTTCACTAATCCTCCTCAGCACAGACCCATTACGGGTGTCGGGCTGGGGGACGGTCAGGTCTTTCCCTTCCCACGAGGCCATATCTCAGGCTGTCTCAGTGTGGGGAAACCTTGGACAATACCCAGGCTTTCTTGGGCGGAGGTCCCTGCAGCCTTCCACAATGCATTGTGTCCCTGAGTACTCGAGACTGGAGAATAGTGGCGACTTTTACCAAGTATACTCCCCGCAAACACATTTTTACAAAGCACATCCTGCACAGCACTAAATCCATTAAACTTGAATTAATACAGAACATGTTTCTGCGAGCACAGGGTTGGGGCTAGGGTTACAGATTAACAGCATCTCAAGGCGGAAGAATTTTTCTTAGTACAGATCAAAATGGAGTTTCTTATGTCTTCCTTTTTCTACATAGACACAGTAACAGTCTGATCTCTTTCTTTCCCCCACACATTTGAGGTCAGGAGTTCAAGACCAGCCTGGCCAACATGGTGAAACTCCGTCTGTACTAAAAACACAAAAATTAGCTGGGTGGTAGTGGTGCGCACCTGGAATCCCAGCTACTTGGGAGGCCGAATCACTTGAGGTGGAGGTTGCGGTGAGCC